TAAATAGGAATCAGGCAGATTTGCCTATCGTCCGATTCACACTCCTCTCCAGTCTTTTGAACAGTAGAGATTTATTCCTTGTTTAGGACTGGGTTTCTGGTTCCTTGTAAAGTCTACATCAACTCTATATGTAGAGATTTATCTCTTATTCTCTGTTTAGGATTGGGTTTCTGGTTCCTTGTAAAGTCTACATCAACTCTATATGTAGAGATTTATCTCTTATTCTCTGTTTAGGATTGGGTTTCTGGTTCCTTGTAAAGTCTACATCAACTCTATATGTAGAGATTTATCTCTTATTCTCTGTTTAGGACTGGGTTTCTGGTTCCTTGTAAAGTCTACATCAACTCTATATGTAGAGATTTATCTCTTATTCTCTGTTTAGGATTGGGTTTCTGGTTCCTTCTAATGTCTCCTTATTCTCTTTTGCTTCCAGTTACCCATTGCGTTTTAGTGGCATTATCATCTTACTTGAAGCGAAAGAAAAAAATAAATGTAAACAAAGTTAATTTGATTTGTGCAATTTTCTGTGTTTCATGAACAGCTGACAGAACAATGCTGTACAGGATGTTAAAAGTTAATCTGTGACAAACGGGGGGTGCAAGGAGGAAACAAAAAGTAATGGCATCAGGAAAATGGTGGCAAAGTTAAAAAAAAAAAATGGGCATGTCAGAAGGAGGGTTTTTTCATTGGCACCATTTATCCACCCTCAGCAATTGTTTTTGCTTTAAAAAGTCAAGCAAATGGATAAATCCAGATTCATTCGTAATTCTAAAAATAGCTTTTTAAATCAATAAAAATTGCTGAGGATGTATACAATAGATGTGGTATTGAGAGAAAAAAATGTCATGTTGATAAACCATTTTTTTTGTGGGTATGATTGTTAAACTTTGCCATTTTTGGCTGCTTTTTTTATTTTGATTTTGAATTAAGAATTTTCCTTTTATTTCTCACAGCTTATTATGCTTGACTAGGGTTGAGGAATGGATTGCTTGAAATATGTTATGGTGGTTTCCTAAGAGTAGACAATATATATATATGACACAAGGCTAAAAGTGTGAAGCACCCTTACTGGATCGAACTCACTACTTGGTCATCTAGCAAGGTAAGCTTGCTAACCATTACACTGCATTGAAGTGCCCAAATGATTTTCTAAGCATAGCTTAGATGTAACAGAAAACTGAAAGTGTGGCTCATCCAGTGAGGATCAAACTCACTATTCAGTCATAATTAATCTCAGAAGACAAACTTGCTAACCATTACACTATGTTGAAGTGTCCTTGAAATATGTTAATATGTTAAAGTAAATATACAAAGAAGGGGATTAATTGTCTCAACAAGGTTAATAACTCTGAGAGACAATGAAATTATGCTTTTGTAATTAATTAACATTTCTTATTATTCATATTTATTAATAATTACTAGATTTTTTAGTTTATACTTGTGACAGCAAGTCTTGTTGATACTACTTCGTATTTTATATTATCATTTTGATGCAAATTTTCATATCAATTGTATCTGGTGATTGCAGCAAAGATCAAGTGACATCAAGCTGTCTCAATATTTCAGCAATCACCTTAATTATTCTTATATTTATTTTTGTTGTTATTATTATTATTATTATTATTTAATTGTTATCCTTAAGTTATTCATAATTAATAAATATAAAGTGAGGGAGTTCGTTCTTTAATTTAAAATTGCAAATATATCTCCATATTGACCTCTTGGATTTAATAATTTTCAAAAATTTAGATGTAATGTCAATTGTTATTTAGAGTTTTCTTGATTCCTCTACTTTTATTGTTCTTGCTCCTTAATAATGTTTCTCTTTTTGTCTTATTCTTCCACACTCAGTAACCCCTTGTGTCTTAGTGACTTTACTGACTTGTTTGGGAGGAAATTATTAAATAAAAAAAACAACTTCTTAATCCTGAGTATTTCATTTAAACACAATAATCTCCACTTATCATCAGATAATACTTTATACAAGTAAGAGTAAAATTTCAAAATCATCCTGTATTTATTAATTCGATAAACAAAACAAAAGCACTCTGTGGGTAAGTAGTAAGTGCTATTTCAAGATTTTCTTTCCAAAAACCATGATTTTTTAGTCAAATCCATTTAAAGGGGTCATTAGATGAATTATTTACATGTTATCACCCCGCCATCCCACTGAAGAAAGGAAAAATGAAAAAATTCCAATGTATTAATAAAATTAAAAATTATTTTCAACCCATTGTACCAGGGGAGTTTTTGTTTTGAAAAAAAAAAAAAAAAAAAAAATAGCTTCAGAAAGATGAATTAATTAAACTATTTGTCATAAAAACTGACCATTATTATACAGGTTAATTTATGTCATGGACATGTCACATATAAAATAGCTGTTGTTTTAACCACAAATTAACTTTGGTAATAAAAATGAATGGTTACTTTTACCTGGTCAACAAAACTTTAAGCCAATCAGTCCCTTGGAATCTCTTTAAGAAGGAAAAACTTTTCTGATTGGATTATGGTGAACATTTCAAGATGACAAAAAGAGAATAGAGATTTGGTGTGTGACTTTTGAGTTTAAAAATACAAAATGTGAAATTTAGAAAAATTTCATTCAGCATTGTTTTGGGGGTTTGTTTTTTTTATGAAAGATTTTATATACAAATAGGTAGATAATTTTTTTTCTTAGAAAAATGTAATGAACACTGTTAAATATTTGAATTTTTGTTGTATCAATCTTATATGGTTGTGAATGGAACACCTATATAATCTCATGTAATATATTATGTTGCTTCATTTTAATGTGGGAGAAGGAAATGTTTAATGCTGTACTCTCACGAATTGTAAAATTAAATAAATAAAAAAAAAATTAACATATATATTTCTTTTTTCTTTATAAATATATTTGTTAATTTTTTTTTTCATTGTTAAGCTAACACATTCCTGAAACCATACTCAATCTAAAAATTAAAATATTAACATACTATTCAACTTAATATAGTGATCACCGGGTGAATTTTGACATAATTTCTTCAATTCGGCATTGTAAAATCACACAGATGTCACAAGTGAAGATCATGTGATTGAATTTTAAAAATTACCTATTGAGATAATTTATTTAGACACTGAATCTATTAAAGTGTGCATGGGTTACCCATGGAATTGGAACTTAAAATATTTTCAAAACATGATCCAAGTCAAAATTTAAAAAAAAAAATGAAAGCACCAAACTAAAGAATCATATTTTTGAGCTACTTAAGTTACATGTATATATAAAAATAAAATAGTGCACTTTTTTGATAAATATATTGATAAAAAATGAATTTATGTCATACATAAATGGACTGATCTGCTTTCTTACCAGTAGGCTACAAATATTCACAAATTACTATGGTGAGGTTTTAATTTGTGCCTGATGATTGCTATGCACATGAAACTCAGAGTTGCATCAAATGCTGAGGAACAAATGTATATTTATCATCAGTATAATCTTTTACACTGTGAAAAGATTTTTCACCTTCAAAACTTTTTATTCTTGATGCAATTATGACAGTGTTTCAGCTGATTTATTCGTCAGCCTTCATCAGGTGTACAACCCATGAGAAAATGGTGACAAAAATGTGTTTATTGGTAGGGCAGTCTATTTCTGCAGTACTAGATGTAGAGGCAAAACTACCACCAATGTACCCAAGTAAGACCGATCTCTAAATAGAGATCAACATATTTTGATGAAATAATTTTTTTTCCTTTTTCTTTTTAAGTATTGTACATTAGTTGGGCAAAACATTAACAGCATTATTAAGAACAGGAATTTGTTGTGATGTTCAAACAAAATTTAGAATGTTAATGACTTTCTTATATATAAAGATTTTAACTGAATGAAACTATTAACTATATGAAGCTGAAGGCCAAATTTTTAAATGAAAAAAAAAAATTACCCTCATGTCGTACTCATAACAATATATGAGATCTGTCCGGAAAGTATCCAACCATATAACTATTAATGAAACGATGACATTCCTAGGGTAATGACACCTGATTTCAGTTTACTTCAACTGGGACTTGGAATGCTGATCCTAGTATCCATTCTATATTTCAACTTTAATCTCATTTATAAAACATTTCTTTTCAACAGTTACTTTAGCTTTGGGGAAAATCCAGAATTTGTAAGGAGCCAAGCCTGAATTTAGGGATGTAATGTTTTGTCAAAAAACCCTCATAAGATGTCATTGTTAAAATGATGATTGCATAGTACAAAAGTTCACTGTTGATCTCAACCTCATAAGATAATATCTGTTCACATATACATAATAATGTCCCTTTTATTGATAAACAAGTTATACCAAGTCTGATTCCATATGACTGGATGCTTACTGGGCAGATCTTGTATATGGATGATATACAAATAAATTTCTAAACCTCTCTTCTTACAATATTTACAAATTTCCATATCTAAAAACAAAAAAAAACTTGGTTGTACAACAGTAAATAGGAATTTTGGCTTTTCAATTCCATTCACAACCACAGTTAGAGATTCATACAAGTAAACTCCCATTTTTCAAACTTTTTGTTTAAATTCAATCAGATTTTTTCTTTTTACAGTGTCCTGCCATCACAACCATTTGATTGGATTCAAAGATGAATAAAAAAAAAAATCAATGTCCTTAATTTCCATTTGCAGGCTGTCTGTACATTGGTGCTTTTATAATGACTGGTTGATGAAAATGAAGCCAAATCATTGTGATGATTTTGCAGAAAAGTGTGATACTGGAGAGGCCAAGGAGCACACCAGTCAAGATAGAGTTTCGAGGATAAAGTGACATGTTGAAATTCTTAACAGTAATACCAGTAAAAGCAATAGTCAGTACGATGTATGGACTAAACGTGTACCGGACATATTTGTCAAGAATGATGCTGTCAAGCATAAACCAGAGAAGGATGCCAAGGGCTGCTATCCCGAGGGTAATTGTCCCTGCCAAGTTTGATTCAATATTTGCTTTACTAATCATTACAATGTTCAAGTTCAGTAAAGATGCAATGCTGATCCATGTTGCATAAAATGCAATGCCATTTTGGACAAGGATTCGGACAAGCCAAACATCTGCATTTAGTCTGAAAATAAAATAAAGATAAGAATAAGAATATATTGATAATTATTTATCCTAGAAATTAAATCCTAACATTCTACAAATCTGCAAGAATTAAATGTTGAAAGCATCTGATATTGAATATAAAGGCTCCAAATATACACCACTGATGTCCTTACAGGACATAGTGGATATAGGAGTTGGTTAGACATTATTGTTACTATCATCTAGTGGTTGTGAGTTCAATTTGAACTGCTGAAGCAGTGCTTTGATATCACATCCATGTAGTGAGTCACTGGTTTAGCAATATCCCATATCAGCCCAATAATGGACTCCTGATGATGGCCAGAGATGCTTGGATGAAATGCTGTCACTATAATAACATCTGTAACAACCGAAATGAAAACAGTAGTTTGAAATAACTAAAGTAAATAAATATTTATTGTGTAATTATCTGCTGGGTTGATAATAATAGTTGGAAGTGAAAAATTTAAAAAATATAAAGAATTCAAGGAAGTGATGAATCATTTTTATATTTTTTTATATTCTCATGCAGAGGATATAAAGTTGAAAAGAGGTATCAAGAAGGAAATCTTTTTGGTTTTATCTTTTACACTTGGATGCATAAGTAGTATAGCAATTAATGATTCAGAAATAGAAATATGTGAGGTTTGTGACATTTTTGCACAAATACCCTTGGAAAATACATCTCTTCTCCCCCAGCTATGGATTAAATAGCAGGTTTGACTGGGCTCTCTTTTCTTGAGGTGGCAACCAGTCTAGAAGAAAGAAAACTCTGAATTGAAAACCAGCTTGAAGAGATATTAGGCTATCTTGCCCAAGACAAACTACTGCTGGAATGGCTGCAGTACACATGGTGACCCTATGGTTCTAATAGGTTACAGGACCCATAAAATTTTGATGACACATGTTACTCTATAATTAGAACCTTTTGAGAGTTCCGTGTTAGTGTCACAATGTTCTTCAGCCTTCTGGAACACTAGTCTCACAAAGTTCCAATGCTAAGGTCTGTGTGTTTTTATTAATATGGAAACAGATGAGTTCAGAAGAATAAAGAAATTAAAACACAGATAAGCCAAAATGTTGTGGTTTTAAAAACACATTTTATCTAAAAGACAAAAAACAAAAGAATTGGTGGAGTCAAATTTTTGGCCAGTCTGCAGAAATCAAAGACAATATTCTTTAATAATGAGTTTGTTCTGCTGTTTTTCATTGGATCAAAAATTTATCATAAGATTGCAAGAAGAAATAAAAATTTCAAATAAATTCAATCCAAATTTCTAACCAATCACTTCTTCTGGATAAACCTACAAAATCAGCCTGTGTCATAAAGTTTGAATTTTTAAAAAGTGATTTTTTTAATTCTAACTGCCAGTTGAGATTAAAGTCCCCCACTGTTGCATGTACCTATGCCATCCTTAATCTCATTTCTCAAAATCTGACATACCAGCTGTTATAGAAGTTTATTGGCTCATTCAGTTATTATTCTGTCCGGTTGAATATAAAATACATGCAACACTCCCAAACGTGTACTAAACTTTATATAAATGTAATTATATACAAAGATATTACATACATATATGTTAATGTTAAGAGAAAAAAATAATACAAGAATTATTATTTAAGGGTACATCATATAGTCAGTCAGCAAGCCAGATATACTATAACAAAATGGATTTGGCCTGTGGGCTGTAATTTTCTGACCCTGGTCTAGTGTGTACAACTAGTGCAGGAAATGATGAGCCATAAATTCTGCTGGTACAATAATACAAAGAATGTCACCAAAGAATACAGGAAAAAAAATCAGATTGAATGTCTTTAAAAATACTGAAATGTAGAATTTTATGCCCATATGCAAACAAGTATTTAGTAGTTAGGTTGATATATAACTAACAGAATCAGAACAGATGTTCTTTTATATAAGGAATCACAGGAAGTAAGGAAATTTCTTTTTTTTTTTTATAAGGATTTATATTAAGATCATATAACTAAAGACTGAGTGTTTTTATTCTGATGGTTAAGATCCATTTACCAACTTCTTTAGGGAAGTAATCTCATTTTATTCAGCAGATATTTTTATGAGGTGTGCAAGCACTTGTAGGATTCTAATTCTTCCCATACACAAATATTTTTGATTTAATTATAACAAAACAAATTTTAATACTTACTCTTCCTTGTACAGCAATCCAAGGAATTTGTAGAGTGTTGAAAATGAAAAATACAAAGCAACATAGAGAGAGAAAGTGGCCAGAACCAGAAAGACCAAAGCAGCAATCATGATTTCTTTTGTCCACACAAAGAGCCAGATAATAACACAGATATTATTAAATGCAAAACTCAGGTACAGGCCTGTTGGTAGTGTGGGTGGGAAGATGTACAAGTAATTTTGTAAGTGAGACCGACATATTTGTATGATCCCGTAGAGCAACCAGAGAACTTGCCACATGTAGATGATTCCCCAGATGGCAAATGTTGCGCTGGCAGGTGTAATATTGGTATCATATTTTGCTGACACTTCACCAATTGTCTGGTCAAAGACACCTGCCAATTAAATACAGAATTTGTTAGATGAAAAGAAAATAAGAAGAAAAAAGCAAAGATAAAAATCATTTAACAAATAAAAAGAAAAAAAAAAACAATGAAATTGTTTCAGTTTTTCTTAATGGCTGAAGTAGTTTCCCTTTTCTTCATTTTCTATGTACCATGTCTCTTAAGGATGTGGGAGATCATGGCTCTTCCCAACATCCTATCCCTTGTACTCCCTAGCAGGTTTTCTCCCTTTGCAATGGGTTAGGGTTATCAAACCTCATCAAAGCTTTGGTACTGAATGATTATTTTATAAGTCAGACCCTGCCTGTATTGAAAATTGGTACAATACAATCTAATTCCCATAGTCCTCCATTTAGCCTTATGCCAGACTAAAGTAATTTTAAAGAAAAAAACAAAAACTTTATGATTTATTTTTCTTTACAGGATGTCACTTTCTGAGAAAGATAGATGGATTCTGATTTCACAGTATTTATTCCAATAGCATTTCATTTGTAAGCTGATGGGTTTTTTGGGTTTTTTTTTTGTTCAAGCAGTAAGCAAAAGAAATGAGACACTGAGTAAAAATGACACAATGTACTTTCAGGAGTTGTATGTGTTAGCATTCAGGTGTGTAGTGCAAGTTTGTTATATTCACAGTGATCCATTGCAAATATGAATGGTGATGCTGGAAATGTTATAAACTAATTGACAATCATGGTAAACCTTTTCACAGATTAAGATATGCATACAAATTTCACATATTAAACTGACCAAACACTAATAGGATAAAATTTTGCACATTCAGCTTGACTTTTTAGTTTTTTAGATGATTCAAATTTCATAAGAGGAATGAGTTTGGAGAAGAGGATGAATAGTATTGAAATGCCACAAATATGTGTCAACATGAAATGTCCAATGACTTTGAAATACCAAGGCATGATGTAAATGTCCAATGACTTTGAAATACCAAGGCATGATGTAAGATGCCCAGTGAAGCAGAGTGATGCTGGGAGCATTTGAAAAGGAAAAAAATAACAAACAGACTTTCAAAATTAGACAAAAGAGATAAAAAAGTTGGGTCATCAGCATCCAACCCAAATTCATCAAGTAACAGATGGAAGCAACATTAATATTAATTAGTTATTACTATTAATTAGTTAATGCAATAAAAAGACTATGTAAAAATAATCTAAATAGTTGCATTGCAGCAAAAAAAGCCATAAAAAAACATTGATAAACATGAAATGACTGGAAAAAATACATCTGCTTTGAGATAGTGAAAACTAAGCAATAGGATTTGTCTATATTTTTAAGGTATTGCAACTATTTAGTTCATTCAGACATTTATGGCCATATTGACAACATTTTGGCTGTTGTGCACTTTGACTGTCTTCAGGTGATATATGCTGGAATTTTTAACTGAACCCTTTATTTAGTTCACAGGGGGGTAGATCCTTTTATTTATTTAGTCCACAGGTGTAATTCTTTTTTGGATCAGTTTCAGTTAATTCCCTTTATCAACCCAATTCAAGCTTTTTGTTCCCTGTGGCCAGGTATTGAACTCGTAACTCTTTGAGTCAAGTCACTTTCTGGATTATTTCAACCAATGCTTTTATCACTGGGCCACTTGGGAACATCAGTGAGTGAATTCTGGGGACTTATAAACTTAATGTCTCAGTAACTATTTTTTGGGAGGATCTCAGATTATAATTCATATTAAAATTTTTTGTTATTGTTTATCTCTAGCTCTCTGTATTACTGGTTCCCATATTGTATTCAATGTCTATGCTTGGCCGGCTTAAGAGATTATTGTAGTCATGCATATGCACTGATTTTTTAAATTTTTCTCTGCCTTTATTCTCTGTCTATGATTTCAATTTCATCCCACAGAGGGCAATGACCCCCCTTTTCCCTCTATATATAGTCAGCCATACTTCCAGCTATAAAGGGTTAATTAATTCAAATAACATCAAGAAGTTGTGGAGAGCCATGATCCCCTACACAATGAGGGGACATAGCACATAAAGAAGATGAAGATAAATATTTAAGTGAAAAGAGCCCCCATTCTGTCACGGTTGCAACAAAAAGAAAAGAAGAGAGAGAAAAGGAGAAAGAAAGGGTGAAAGAAAAGGAGAATAAAGAATTACTATTAATTAGAGTTTTATAACAGTAAAAGTAAATTATTTACAAAAATAAAAATATAAATATATTACAATTAAAGATTCAAAACTATTGATTCAGTCTTGGAGAAATTTAAGAATTAAATCAAATCAGAGAAAAAAAATAAAAGATAATATTTTGTCTTCAACAGAAACTCAACAGTTGTCTTGGTCACAAATATTAAAAGATAGAAATGAGAGTTTTACTGGTGAGTCTGTGTTAAGGGCTGTGGGAAGACTGATCGGCGGGAGTCAGGGTCAGTTCTTTGATCTTTTTCATAATTGTCTGCTAGTTAACTGAATCAATGAAACAAACCAGCCCTTCCATTTATATAGGTGGGCAACTTTGAAGAAAGACCTCACCATTTCTGGTGTCTTCTAGGTCAAAAAGGGGACATTATCCCACTTTCTATTTTATTTGGGAACCAAATCAAATGACATATTTTCACCAATCACAATATGTGTGGCTTGTCATAGTAATTTCTATTTTTAGTATTTCCTAAAAAGGGCCTTCTGTAACACAAGTCATTTAACATACAAAGATTAACAAGATGGCTCTGCTTTTCATCCTTTGTAAAAAAAAATTCACAGATATTTCAATTATTGTTCTTGTTTTATTTGGGTATCTCCAATTTGTAATTTGCATGTTGGGCTGTTCCTTTTGCTAACAGCCATGCATTCTGTCTTCTTGCAATTGATATTTAGTCCTTTATTCTCACTTTCCTTTACAACATTCTGCAGGATTTCTTGTAGATTTCTTTCTGTGTCTGCTATCAACACTGTGTCATCTGCATATCTAATGTTGTTAAGATTGTGGCCACCAATAATAAAGACAATTACTACTTGCTTAAGCAAGAGAAGTAATATGAAAGAAATACAAGTGAAAAAGATTAATAACTTAGAAACTTGTTCTACATGTTTTACTGAAAAAATATATGTCTCCAAAAACTCTTAAACTAATAAAACATTTTTAGATCTTTCTTTTCTTTTCCTATAACATTTTATAACATTCCAGATTTTATACACACACCATCTTGTTCAATTTCCTATGAGTTTACAATAACAGACATGAAAAAAAAATCTTTTAGGGTTGTCTCTTTTGTTTGGAAGATAAATTTTTATTTTTAAAATTGATTATCAGAAGAATTACAAATAAGATGTGTCTGGAATAATTTGCATTTAAAGTGAAAATGAATATTAAAGCAATTAATAAGAAGAAATAATTCGACTGTCTTCTAATTAGGAGATTGGCACATTGTTCCTTCCTGAGCTAACATTTTCTGCTGACATGAAATGCAAAGATTATATTGAATTGACTGTGAGGTCTGCTGCTAGGAAAGTTGGTCCAATGTGTCGTGCGAGACAGTTTTTCTTGCCAGAATCTATCTTACAAATTTATAAATCTATCATTCATTTATATATCTGAATATTGCTATCACATCTGGTCTGGTGCTTAGAGATTCTTGATATACTTAAAGATTCTTGATAAAATCCAAAGAAGAATCTGCAATGTTATCAGTCCTGACGTGTCATCTCAGCTTCAGTCACTTTCCCACTACCATAATGTAACTTTCCTGTTCCTTTTCTATAAACTGTTTTTGTTTTTTTAATCATTTTGCCCCAAGCAAGGCAATAAAGCCACTAAGATGCCAGGGTTTTTTCTATGTGCTATCTCTCTTCATCCTTGTTCTGCCATCCATTTACACAAGCATGCTAGGGAGGCTGCTCTTCTCTATCTTTATTGCCTTCAATCTTTATGTGCTCCATTGGTCATTGTTCTGATGAGCTTTCCTCTTTGGTATCTCAACTGGAATTTAAATGCAGTACTAGTTTGGCAGGTAGGTCTCATCATTTTAGTTTTTTTTAGTTGTTAACTTCTGTCTTCTTAATTCCCGTTCTTTATTGTTTGCATTTGTTAAGAATGTTTTTCTCTTTCTTATGTTCTTTCACACTTGTCATCGTCCTACATGGCAGTGAATGCTCAATGATCTCACAGATGAAGAAGAGACTTGAAGCAACAGAAATGTGATTCTACAGAAGGATGCTGAGAATATCATGGATTGAACATTTGTGTAATAATGATGTTTTAGAGAAAATGCAAAGAACAAAGGCACTTATACTTAAGATCAAAGAGAGACAGGTGAATAAAGAAAGAGAGCTTGGAAAATTTGATACTCATGGGACAGATTGAAGGCAATAAAGATAGAGGAAAGCATCCTCCCTAGTGTACTTGTGTAAATGGATAGCAAAACAGGGATGAAGAGAGATAGCAAAAAGACCAAATTTACCAAGAGCTACAAAGGACAGGAAATTGTGAAGAGCCATGATCACCCACATCCTGAACGGAAAGCACATAGAAAACCCCCTTGCATCTTAGTGGCTTTATTGCCTTACTTGGGGCAAAATGATTAAAAAAACTAGAACAGTCAAAAGGAATTTCTCAAATATTATTAAAAGAATTTTTCAGTTTTTACAGATTTTTACTCCAAATGCTTATTTCATGTACACATCAAAAAACTATCTATGATTTCACTATTATTATTATTATATACATATCATGTCATTATCAATAATTTTCAGCTGTATATTTTAGATGTTGTAATGGTAATATTAACCGTTTCCCTATAAGGAAACATTTGGCATTCCCTGACCAACCAACCAGTACTTTTTCTGGTTGAAATTTATAAAATTGTTCTCTTAAAACAATTTTTTAGGAAAACAGGTTTCTCAAGTCCAGTAACTTTTATCACTCTTTCCAGTACTGATGGGGATTTCCTTCCTAACCTTCTAATTGAAATGGTGTGGAATGTTAACATCTTGAGATGTGGGCAATTTTAAGTCATTATTGTAAGTACCTCTATAAAAGCTGCTGAAGCTCTTCATGGAATTGAAATGAAAAACAATTGAAGCAATATATGACCATACTGACAAAACTGGTTTTATCTTTTATGCTGAGGTGGCCATGATTGTGGCTGGATGATAAAATGTAGCCAGCTATAATTGGGAACTTGGAACACTTCCATAACAAAACATTCTGCAATATGATTGGTCAATAGTGACTAAACATTAGAATTCTTATGAATAAAATTGCATATAGTTTTATAGGCATTACAGTAATAATTTGATCCAATATTCACTGTTTGTTTGATCATGTGTAAAACCATATCAGGAAGTAAAAAAAATAAACAAACAGCTGCATTGTGACTTTTATTTACATATCAACAGTTAAGCATTTTAAGGGTGGTGAGATTTCCTTTGAAATAAAACCCAGAATTTGATATGCAGCATTTGTTGATAATAAAGCTTTAAATCAGAAGGCAGAGAAGAACCTTACCAATAGCAGGACTTGAATACATTCAGAAGAGCTTGATCATTGCAAAATACAATATAAAGAGTATTAAATAAACTTATGTGATGATTTTCTTAAAAGAAAATCAAAAAACTAATGCTAACAGTAATTGATTTGTTTTTTATGGCTTATCAACCTTTTGCAGGTTATTTAAAACCAGAGAACATTATTAGATTGTAAGATTTTTTTGAGATAATAATTTACTGATACAAATTCTACTTATCAATCCATCATGCATTCGTCTTTCTCAAGGGCATTTGCTTGTAAATGAATCTAAGAAATTTGAATGGAATTGGAACTTGGCTCTCAGATTTCTAATTCCATTATCCCACCAGCGCATCCAAGCTTACAGCACCTGGTATTCCTAAGCAGTTACCCATGAAGGTACTGATCAGGCTCAGTGTTGCTTAACCTGGGTGATCATATGAGAACTAGCATTTCAGTATGATATGACAGGCAAGTGGAAAGAGGGTTAACCTCAATTCGTTCAAGGGATTTGAAACCTTAATGATTGGAAAAATGAAAGAGGACTCTTAATACAAATGAGACAGCAGATAATTGCAACAAATTTTCCTTGAAACCTTCAGGGGTTGGCACACTAATCCAAACAAAAAGAATTCTTGTAAGGTAGAGAATTACTTGGTAGGAAAAAAAAAGGGGGTAAGAACTCAGGTTAGTAATGAAAAAGAGCACAGAATAAAACAGTCTAACATTCATGGCAAGAAAAGAAACTGTTAGCATAGAACTTATGGTTACTCAACTGTAAATTGATGAGACTGTTGTACTCTGCTTAAATTCAAAAAGTCTGGGTACCATAGTGAAGAGCTCATCCAAACCATTACCATGAAAGGCTCAGGGAGGCAACTTTACGGTGGTAAGAAAGTGACTGAAACCAAGATGTCAGGACCAATTGCTGATTCTTTCGATTTTATCAAGGATCTCTAGATATACAGCAGGAGCACTAGACCATATGTGACAGCAATAATCTAAGCATTGGTGAATAGTAGATGTATAGATATTTAAGATAGATTCTAGAGAGAAAAATTTCTTGAATGACACAGTGAACCAACTTTTTTGGCAGCTGACCTAGCAATGGATTCAATATAGTCTTTCTACTTCATGTCAGCTGAGAACATTAGCCAGAGAAGGCATTATGAGTCACTTTCCTGAAGGTTAGCATCAGCCATGCTTATATCTATTTTTTTTATTGTCCTCTCTCCTTAAGGTTTTTGAATCATTACCACAATAATAATTTTACTGGTTCAAACTCACTAGAATTTAATTAGTTCCATGTTATGTCACATGCTTTAAGAGCTTGAAACAAGCACCAAAAGAACTACAGCAATTGTAATTACAAAAAAAAAAAAAAAAAAAAAAAATTCAACTCAGTCCAGTGATTTTATAAATAAGTCCTGTACACAAACTCAGTGTTCTGAACCTTAATCTTCATTTCATCATAGTTTTTTTTTCACAGATTCTTTTCTACTTAGTAACCCCCTTCTGTCTTAGTGGCTTTATTGCCTTGGTTGGGATGAAATGATAAAAAAAACAACAACAATCCAACCAAGAAGAGCTTCAAAAGTGAAAAAAAATAGTAAATAGGAATCACAAAGCAATTGGTAAGTAAGAGATTTGAAGATTCAAAGAGAATAGGTTTTTCATCAGAAACAAATTACACCTGATTATTTAATTAAAATTAGCACTTAACCACATCAAAAGTCTATAAATTTATGCCACCCCTCAATTCCAGTTGAGGTTAAAGTAAATAACTCATTTTAAAATTTTCCCCTGCAAAAATACAGAGATACTTTGAAAAATTATAAAAGCTAAAATACTTTTTGTATACTCCAAGCTGAATATGTCTTTCTCAATAATAATTGATTTGATTTGTATGGTTTATCAACACTCTGCAGGTTATTCAAAGACAAAATATTTTTGAGATGACAAGAATTTTGTTTTTTGGAGATAATAATGGTTTTACTAATTAACCCATAGCTAGGGGAGAAGAGGTAGATTCATACCTTTCCCAAGGATATTTGTACATCAGTCAATATAACGAATCTGACTGGAACTGGAACTCAACTCTCTGATTAGCAATCATGAGACATTATCTATTACACCACCTGCACATCCAAGCTTACAGCACCTGGTATTCACAAGTGGTCACCCATTTAGGGACTGACCAGGATTGCTTAACTTCAGTAATTATACAGGAACCAGCATTTCAATGTGACGTGGCTGTAAGACCTCAATTCTAAGGCAAGATAACAAAATACAATGCCAGTTACTCAGCAGTGAGAGAAAAGTATTTCTTAACATTAGAACAAAGCCACAGGAATGGAGCAATCAGTGAGAATCAAATTCATTTCAGTAGCTGACAAGACATTAGGTATTTACAAAGTATTGATAAGGATTTGAACTCAGTAACAATCTGTTAACTTGTGAACAACTTCCTCATGGAGAAGTTACCAAAAATTGATAATCTACCAAATTTCAATTAATCAGGTTCATGGAGATAGATGTGAAGCTCTCATTGAATTGATACAGTAGGAATTCTAACAGAGTGGAATGTATGGGTTGTTAAAGTAAATTAATTACCCCATTGTTATATTTATTTGTAATTGATAAACGATTCCTTTTCTCTTTTTATTTTACTGAAAATGAAATGAATAAAACATACAACGATAGCAACAATAAGACTTTGAAACATGTGTTGACATTAATGACAAGAAATGTGTATTTTTCTTTTCATGATTGTTAATTACAATATTGGTATTGTGTGTGTTAAAAATGTTCTCAGTGTTATTATCTCTTTGGTTTCTTTAAAAGTTTGTGCTTGTTCCAAGAATTTTGTTGTTAAGGGTAGCCTTTGAAACCGTCAACTATCACATTTCATGGAGTGATGTTTGTGTTCCTTTTTACTACTGCTACTCTACTCACTTTGCTTGTGGTGGAAGAGTTTTTTTTTTTATAATGATGAGGTTTCAGATTTTAGAATGATGAAATATCATCATCATATATCATCACTGGTGGCAAGGTTGTTATAGAATGATTAATTTTTTTATTTTTATTTCTGTGATGATGAAATATCCTTATTATTAAGCATCACTAGTTGAAAGGTTGTTTTTAGAATGACGAAATATCATCATTCTGGATCGTAACAATAAAATGCTTAAATAGCATGCTAACCTTTGCTCTATGGCAAAGCATTTATTCATATTCATTAAGATTAGCTGTGTGTCATACAAAGCTACAAATGTGAGGCTCTCTCTGAAGACTCAACTCACTACAGTAGGAATAGTCTTCTAGACTAGTTTACTAACCACCAATCAATGGCAAGGAGAATTGTAGAAAAAAAAGAAAGAGTGGGAGAAATGTAAAGAGGTTTTAGTGATTTAGCTAAAATTGGTTCAGGCTTACCAGCTTTGGCGTTGGCGTTTCCTGCCAGGGCTGAGAGTGCCAACACTACCACAAACAGCAGAACAGTCGAACCAATCACAAATAAACGGGCAAAATTATGTTTCATTTTTTTTCCTGAAAGAGAAACAAAAATACGAGGTGTAATCTTTGTATGAGGCAGAAAACAAAAAGAAACAAAAATAGATAATAATTACAACAAATAAAAGTTAATTTACATCGCAAATTATGCAGCTCCACTATTAACTTTCATAAAATTTAATAAATAGTAAGTCAAAGTGCCTACCTATTGTAAAGCTCTACCATTAATTAGCATAAAGAGGCAGCCATGAAAAATTCATGGCATTCCTATTTGAATTTTCTGATGAATCGTAGAAATTTCCCTATCATGTCATTAAATATTTGAGCTTAACAACTTTAACAATATATTTCAATAACAATCATAAATATGAATGCTGGTAGTTATTTTAAGAAGTGGGTACAAATGAACCCGCATGACATGGCAATACAATATCTGGAGAAATTGCCCTATTGCATCGTTAGATATTTGAGCTTTACAACTTTAACAAAATATTGCAATAACAATCATAAATATAAATACTGGTCGTTATTTTAAGAAGGGGGTACAAATGAAAAGATTCCATTTCACTGAAACAGATGTTAAACACATAGTGGACCTAAAAAACGATTGGTTGGAAAATACGCTTTTTCCTCGCTGCGAGCATTTATCTCAAGTAGGTGCGAATTTTAGCTTACAACTACTTTCGCACACTATGTCATCGACAACCATCGTAAACATAAATATCACAGAAATTTTCAGTTCAGGAAGGAGAAACTCGCCAGCTACTGAACTTCATGTCGGCAGATGGAATGAAAGCAGACACTCATCCTTTTTTCCACTCCTTCAATGACCGTGGCCAAAGAATGAACTCACTGATTCATGACATTACCATGGTAACCATGTCAAGAACTAGGAATACTCCATATTAGGGACACCAGTTAAGTATTGTCTCACTGACACTTTTCTTTTTACTTACTATCTCGCAAACATAGGAAAAGTCATTTCGAACGCTTCACCATCTGCACAGCTATGAAAACCACTTTTTTTACCTATATATTCGAACACTAATACCATACACAACCGAATCACACACTGTCAATACATACTGTCGTTTTTGAATAAATGTTATTTTGGATTTGGTTAAAGTTAAACTGTTTTTTGTGTTTGTTTTGAATTGTTGTATGTTTGAGGTCAGGTGTTGCAAGCCCTTGTTGGGGACGTCGTGGTTGTTTAACGTATCAGAAACAATACAAGATTTATCCATACCATTATTCATTTACAAACTGGAATATGAGTTGCGTGCGTAAATTGTATGTGTATGCTGAAATGGTTAATGTCTCTTGTATCGTAATGTTTGCTATTTTCTTGTTTGTATCAAAGATTGTAATAATAAAATTAAGAGTTTTTTGCAAAAGAGTTTGTCAAAGTAGTCTACCCTTAATCATATTTTGTATTTGTATTCGCTTTCGTATTTCTTATTTTTGTAATGATTATAAATCAATATGCATAAGAAATTAAGTGAAAAGTTTCAAGAGTCGTTCGTCGAATGTTCGAAGTGAGTCAGTGAATGTTCTTTGAAAAGCGCGGCAAAATTATGGTTCGAAACGTCGTGGAGTATTTAGGCAATTGCTCGGTGAGTTAGCTAGACTGACTGAATGGGGCTGTCTGCTTTCCTTTTTATAATATTTGGGTTTCCAAAAGTGGCTCAACTCGTTTTTGGCGCAATTCCTGTTTCAGAAAACGATTGACCAATGGAATTGCTTGATTCGATTCTCGCCATTTCTATTGGTTGAGGTTTTTTAGTACGTAGGCGTACGATGTGGACTGTACCTTTTTTAGGTTAGAAAAGGTGAGGATATTGGATGAGTCCACACCCTCAATAAACACGTCTATCTGTCTTTCTTTTATTCATTTTCTCACTGAAAGCAAGTAGTAGTGTTTTCCTCTCTTTCCACGTGATCAAAACAGAACAGTCCATTATTTATAAGGTATTGGCTGGATCGTGCGAACTAAAGAAGGGAAGGATATGCACAATACAATTATAACAGGATATTTGTTGAGAATTGGTTTATGTGTTACTCCAAACCAGGATTCTAAATCATTTTACGTTTAAACATATCAGTCTTAAAAAAAGTAGAATTTGCTTAGTTCTGCCGTGAATCTTTGTCATTGGGTCCTGTCGAAATTCTAGTTTGGTAAAATCCCAATTTTTTGTGACATTCGTCTTCTCCAATGTTGAAAAACAATAAAAGTGAAATTCCCCACAACATTTGCCGATTCAACAACAAAGTGTTTTGATAAAAGTACTTAAAAAAAGAAAAGAAAAGACAAACGCTCTAATATACATCGTGTTTTATTCCCCCCCCTCACCTTTCTTGTCGTTTTAGGCCACCCGGGAAGTTGTAGGTTGAAAATGTCTCGAGATAGAGTTTATTGCATTCTTTCGTTTGACTTTTTAGTCGTCAGTTCACTTGGATGACGAGGTGGAGGGGGGTATGTGATTATAATATTGCCATCTGTTTTGTTTTGTTATGTAGCGGCTGTCGTTATCCTGGTCTTTTACGGTAAGACATAAAATCCCTACAGAGAGTATGGCAAGAGGCGTAGCCCAATAAATCCTCTTTAACCTTTGAAACAACAACAAAGAAAAGAAAAAAAAAAATGGATAAACCATACGACACACCCATTAATATTTTTTAAATTCAAAATCTCATTACAAATTTGTGCACAATTTTGTGGACGTTAATCCTATCCCATGTCTCTACAGGACGTGGAAAATCAGGACTCTCCTCAAAAGGGTAACTCCACTGAAGACAATATTACTGGTGAAATATTTATTTTAATGCTATACTATTTACTGATTTCAAGGCTCAAGATCCACTTAAGGTACAGGGTTACTAAATGGTGTTCTTTTAGGAACGTAGATTATGAGGGATACTACTTAGATTTTGATATCTACCGTCCATTTTCTACTATGGTATGATGATATCTAAATTCATTTTCTACTATGATATGATATTTACCAAATGTTGGAAGTATGAAATATGTTAGGGTTAGGTTTAGGAGTTAAGGTTAGGGCTAGGGGTTAGGTCTAGGGGTTAGGGTTTAAGGCAGTGAATAGTGAACTGGTCATGTATTAAAAATCATTAGTAGATTTTTATAAAAAAATGAAAAATCGTCAAATAGTGATTTTAATGTTTGCAAACTGGTTTGATGCCATTTAAAAAACAGTAAATAGCAGACATTCATAAGGAGACCCGATGGGGTAGTGGATAGCGGCTCGGATTGAGAAATCAGAGAGCCGAGTTCGAATTCCAATTACATTCACTTACGTGGGAAAGGTATGAATCCTCCCCCCAAGCTATGGATAAATAGCAGGGCAGGCTGGGTTCTATAGCCTTGGATGGCAACTGGTCCAGGAGAAAGAAAAACTCTGAATTCAAAGCCGGCCTGGAGAGGGTTGGGTTCCGTCAGGCCATCTTGCCCAATAAACACCACTTCTCAGATATCATACTATAGTAGCACCTTATGAGGATATGTAGGATAGGCTAATTCTAAAGTTGAAGAGGTTAAGAATGTAGTGGTCAAGGAATAATGTTCTTGGGAGTCTGTTGCACATAGATTCATGGGAAAAAGCTATCTGAATGGAACTTCCTCCTTACTAATGAAATACAAAGAGAATGGGGATGATTCGACCCTATGTAAATGTCTGAATTATAGGGTATGTAGCACGTGAGAACATTTTCCATGGAAAATGCTTGCGATGTTCAGTCTGTGGGGAAAGGGGTTGTAGGGTGGAAAATAATTCATCGCCTACAAAGCTATTTAAACGATGTTTTAGTCCGTCGAGGCAGCTCCAGATATGGCAGTAACACTCCATAATCTGACACTTACAAAGACAGAGCATTGGTAGGAAGAGTCAAGTTCTTTCAGCAATTGACCATATTCCAACCATCTTTAGCGATGGATCGTATATTCGAGTTCCACTTGAGGACTGGAAAGAACAAAATAAATACACAGACTGGGATGTTCAGGCTTAAGTGACAACTAGACTAACAGAAGGACAGCTCTGCCAAATTGCGGAGAAGGAAACAGGTAAACCAATCGACTATCTTTTCCAAGAAGGCCTGGTAATTCATAAATAATAATAATGATGATGATGATAAAAATGCAATCTGAAGACCTATGATCGCCTACAGCAAAATGCATTAAAAAAGAAATAGAAGCTATGGAGAGTCATGATCGCCTGTTTTGAAGGTACAGGACATAAAAAGGAATTATTTTTAGCAAGTTTAATTTTTCACTGAATGCTTCTATTAATCTGCCTTGTGCCAGACTAGATCAGCGTTTCTTAACCGGTGCGCCTGGGTGTATTAATGCAGAAAGGTAGCCAAGCGCGCCTCAATTTAACATAAGAATAATTTATTAATTATTTTTATATTTAAAAAATCTTTTATTTTTAAAAAGCTAGAGACACCAAGCATATGCTTCCATGTCTGAAACAAAACTTTTAAAACAAGACTTTTAAAACAGGTATTTTAAACTGTATGCTAAATCGCTTAATCTTTAAAAAGTAGATAATCCTTTCCATTTTGTTTTTCTTAAATCAGCCATTATCGATCTTTCTCAAAATAAATAAATAAATAAATAAAAATAACAGATTCTTTCTTTATAAATCCCTTTAATTGAAAACTATACCGCTTAATGTCAGGTCTTAAAAAATAAATGCTTATTTCAGGAGACTTCTTTATTTTCCTATTTTCAAATTTCATGACGAATTTTTCCTTATTAAAATTGAAATTGCAACTCAGAGTGTTAGTTATTCTACAATTGCACTATGAAGTACAAAATGTTTAGAAACACTGGACTACGTTAAATGAATTAACTCTATAATACGCGTACACAATATGTGTTAACACAGTGTGTACGCGTATTATATGCGTACTGTCCTCATTTTTGACACCTGCTGTCAATTCTCGCATCCTAAAATGAAAGAGAAATCGCATCGGCTTGCCGCCGGTCAATTGTTTGGCAATTTTACTGAAACAGATTCATTTACCTATGTACTACTCACATTTTAATAAGTAAGAAGTTTATATATATATATATATATATATATATATATATATATATATATGTGTGTGTGTGTGTGTGTATGTGAAAAGTGTATATAAATATAAATAAATATGTATGTATGTATAATTATTTATATATTATATGCATAACTTATTAGAAAGCGCTCAATATCAGAGATAGAGCTAATATATATATATATATATATATATATATAAAATTATCCCTTCCTAAAAAATAAATGAATAAAATAAAATGGAAGTGGATTGAAGTGAGAGGAAGAAGAGAAATTTCATTCATGACTGACGGGAAGAGGAATGTTGAGAAAAAGAGGTGGAAGAATTGAAAAAATTCTCTCTTTCCTTACTTTTTCTTTTACAAAAATGACGCCGAAATACCAATTCTTGTGCGATCACCGATGTTAAGCAACAGTTAGTACCTAGATGGGTGACTGCTTGGGAATATTTGCTGTAAGCTTGGATATATAGGAGATGTGATGGATAGCGACTCAGAGAGCCGAGTTCGAATTCCAGTTGATTTCGTTACATTCACTTAGGCACAAATACTCTTCGAAAAAGTATAATTCCATCTCTCCCACTAGATATGGGCTAATAGTAGAACAGACTGGGTCCTTTCGCATATGTTGTCAAACAATCTCTATAGAATGTAACGGTGGCTACTGCGGCCAAGTCAATAATGAATTGAAAAGAGACATGATCGGCCAAGTGTGCTTCACGCGTGGCACTTAAGGAATATAGACAAAATAGAACAAAGGCAAGCAGTGAAACATCGACCTGACTAGGAGAATAGGTGGCAGAACGAATGCTGGGAGGGCTGGTTAAAAGACGAATGTCACTAAGACCGAAAGGGAGAGGAAGTTGTGGAGAGCCATGACTACTCATGTCCTGAAGGGACACGTTACTTAGAAAAGAATAGCGAGAAAAATAAGAATCCAAATTTCATAAAAAAAAGGGTAGGATGTGGATAGGAAAAATGTGAAAGATGAGATTGTAAAAGTAAGTGTGTGGGATAGAGAGAGATGAGGATAAAAAAGGAAGAAAAAGAGGGGTAGTAAAAAGAGTAAGAAAGAAGGGGTTGCAAGAGAGAAGTGGTAAGTTGTGAACAGAAGTGTGTGAGAGAGAGAGAGTAAGAGAGAGAGAGAGAGAGAGAGAGAGATAGAGACAGGCGAGGATAAGAAGGAAAGAAAAGAGGTGATAGTAAAAAGAGAAAGAAAGAGAGATGAGGTGAGTTGTAAAATGAAGAAGAGATAAGAGATGGAGAAGGTAATGCGATATTGGCCGGGTGTAGATTGCATCTGTTGACAAGAAAAGTGTCCGTGACAGGAGCTTTAGGAGCCCGAGTTTAACCCCTTTATGCGAATATGAATAAAACAAATCAAAGAGACAGAAATCTAAATTCCCAGCCCCGCTTTCAACATCAGAATTTCTTTTCCCTTTTCCCAACTTAGGAGATCTGCTATCATAACCGACTTTTTCGCAACAAACAACTTTATCTTTAAGGAGTTTACCAAGGTCAGTTGTAAGTTCTTTGATTCTTCAGTTATGGGTGTGGAAGAGTGTCGCATTCATGTGTGTGTGTGTGTGTGTGTGTAAGACGGCAGGGTGGGGGTGGTGTTACGACTAGCAGGAGGAAGAGAGAGAGAGAGTGAACGAAAAGGAATGGTGCGGAAGAAAAGAATGAAATAGAGAAAGAAAAGAGGGAGTGAGAGAGAAGAGGAAGATAAGAGGGTGAATAGATGTAGGGAGAGAGAGGAAAGGGAGAAGAAGAGGAGGAGAAAAAGAAAAAGAAAAGAGGGAGATAAGAAAGGAAAGAGGAAGAAAAATGAGAGAAAAGAGAGGGGAGAGGAAAAAAGTAGTGCGAGAAAAGAGATGGAAGAGAGGAGAGAGAGAGAAAAAAAGAGAGAGGAAAGAACGAGAGAAAATAAAGAGAGGAGAGAGGGAGAAAGAGGGAGAGAGAGAATAAAGAGAGGAGGAGAGCAGATAAGAAAGAGAGAAAGAAGAATGGGGTTGGAGAAGAGGAGATGAAAAGAAAAGAAATTGAATAACGGTGAAGAGAATCATAATCCACCCACCCTGCCACACGCACACCGTCAAAAAAAAAGTCACGCTGATATGAGAGAGAGAGAGAGAGAGAGAGAGAGAGAGAGATAGAGAGAGAGAGAGAGAGAGGACAAAATGAAATCAAAAGCGATCTTTTTCCAATATTGTTAAAACTGAATGTTCTTAAAATGATGAATAAAGATAAAATAGAACGAAGCAGAAGTCAGGCGCCTACAGTTGAATAAAAAGATTAGTTTGTATCCGACTAACAAGTACATCTTGCAAACGACCGCTTCTACTGTGAGTTCGATCCTTAATAAATGCCCCAGAAGCGAAGCTGAAACTAGATTAAAAAAATATTTATAAAATTATTTCGTTGCGAGTCAACAGTTATTTGTTTTCTGTCTGTGGTGATTCCTTGTAAGTTGAAACTGAGAATAAATCCTTTTTTCTACAGTTGAATAGAATTGCTATCGTGATAGAGAAAAGCCAAACCTTCGCTTGATTCTCTATGAAAGATTAAAAAAAAACAAACAAAAAAAACAAGGCCTTGCTATAAAGAATTTTTTAATTGGTAAAAACCCACGAAAAAAAATAGTTCAAAGAAATGTTAGGGGTAACATTGAATTTATATATGGGGTACACAACAAAAAATGACGACACAAACCGAATTTAAGAATAAACGATAAATTTTTTGTTAACACACAAAGTAATGAATGAATTACACAATTTCAGTGCATTGTGTGCCAAATGATGGCCAATATATAAAAATAATGCAAATGAAATATTTCCTTTTAAAATCAAAATTATAATGCTGCATCAGCCCCCCACCCCACCCCACCCCACCCCGAAAAGAAAACTACATGTAGAGGAGAAAATACTTCTCTGAATAGTTTTTTAATTGGCACAATTTTCGAAGTTCGTGGTAACAGTGAAGAATAGAACAATCACATCTACCGAAGACTTTTTTCTTTGATGCGGGAGCAATTTTAATGTTCCTTTTAATTCTCGTCTGGTGATTGACAAATTTATTGTTTTTCTTTCTGGACCGGAGCGGCTTGGGTTCCATCATCGACTCCTTTGAATTAGCTCTTGGGTCCCCTTTTATTACCTATTGGTAGGCACCAAATTCACTTCTCGGAATTTAGAGGGAAACCTTTTGATTGGTTTTGGATGAAAAAATATAAACGCAGCTGTTTTCCCATAAATCGAAATGTACCAAAATTATTTTTGAAACTCAAAAATTAAACAAGAGCCAAACGCAGCGTTTGCTTTATTTCCGAAAAGCAGACGATACACGCTCAGGCAGCTCAAATTTCTTATAAGCAAAACCCAGTTAAACATTAAAATATTAAACGGGATTACATTACTTGATTTAATCTGAGGATTTTTGCTCTCTGAGGAGTCATACTCAATTGTCAAGAGAGAAACTGTCTTTACCTCATACACATTTGAAGCTTTTATTCATTTTTTTTTTTAATGAACCGAGTAAACAAGTCTGTTCTTTAGTCTTTTTACCAAGATTAAATTAATTTATGTATTTAATGAAATCAAAATTTTACGAAATTTACTTAAAAGATTTCAATCTGAAATCAACCAGAGTTGGAATCAGTTTTTAATTGTTTAAAAAGTAAAAGTTATAAAGATAAATAATTTGACTTAAAATTTTTTTTTTAAAAAATAACTTCTCGGACACAAAGCTTTCAAATTGAAGTATAATTGAATAATACGAGGTGCCGGGTTGGTGAGAAACCTCGTGAGAGAAAGCAAAAGAGACAATTTCAACTCAAATCAACAACTGAAATTTATTTTTTATTTATTTTCTGCAAGAAAAGCTAGCGATAATAAAAAGTGTTGAATTCCATATCAAAACCGAAGCTAACTTTGCGGTACTTGGAAGGGAGGGATGTTGTTTGGCGGGGATAGAAGTAATTCACCCCGATAACATCAAGGGTCAATGCTTGAGGCTGGGTTTAGAGATGACGTAGGTGTGGCTGTAACATAAATAATTTTCTCACTCCTTCCTGGCACAGCATGTCATTCCATCATATCAACATAAATTTTGAGAAAGTGATTCCGAATAGCATACTTGCTAATCATTAGTCTGCATTAAGGTCACTATAAGTTCAGTCACTATAGGGCTTTTTAAAGTGCTCACTTTCTCTTACTATAAAGATAGTAAGGAAGAAGGGAATAGAGAGAGTGGTAAAGGAGGAGGAGAGAAAAAGAGTGGTAGTAGTGAGAGAGGTGATCTTGTAGAAAGAAAATAACTGTCTTCGTGTGAGGTGGGATGAGGATAGGGAGGTTAAAGAAAATGTTGAGAGAATCCATGTCCTTCAGAAATGATATATCGGAAAAATATTCTTCCTATAGGCAATATCCCTTAGATGAAGTAAGAAAAATCTTGTAATTATATATTTATCGCTTTAAATTGTATTTAGTGAATACATAGATTTGTGTAGACATCCCTGTCTTTTTAAAACAGTGTAAATCTACATCTACCGGCTTGTGCATACAAAAGTCTTAATAAAGAAAATGTGCCTTCCAACAAGGATCGAACCTACATCTCAATTGTAGAGGAAACCAGTGTTAAGCGCGGTGTACTTTTAAACCGCTCAGCCACGGATTATTTCCTCAAAGTTCAAATACTTTATTTAAGAAATGAAAAACTCGTGGTCGGATTTCTTGAAGCCCATGCCTGTTAAATACGAAACTGAACAGATATGAATGTTTTGAGAGTCTGGGAAATATTAACGTTTTAAAGGCACTATTCAAGTTTACCGTAGCCGTGTTGGTCTAAAGCCTTTCGGATCTAAGGACGGTTTCTGTGGCCTCGGGGGACACATGTTCGAATCCTGTCGCATAGCATATAATTTTATTTAATAAGATTTCTCAAATATTCAATCCGGTAGACAAAATGAAATGAATAGACTCTTAAATAAACAAACGGCGAGGCCTGCATAAATACACAAATAGTTGTAGCCAATAAAAATAAAGTTTAAGTAATAATATTGTTTTAAATGACGAAGGTACAGTTGTTAAGAATAGAAGACTTGAATTTTGGGCTTACATTGCACATCTATTTAGCACCAGTAGGCAACATATATCAGCTTCTCTCTCTCTCTCTCTCTCTCTCTATATATATATATATATATATCAGCTTCTCTCTCTCTCTCTCTATATATATATATATATATATATATATATATTCTCTCTCTCTCTCTCTCTCTCTCTCTCTCTATATATATATATATATATATATATATATATCAGCTTCTCTCTCTCTCTCTATATATATATATATATATATATATACATCTCTCTCTCTCTCTCTCTCTTTTAGCACCAGTAGGCAACATATATATCTCTCTCTATCTCTCTATATATATATATATATATATATATATATATATATATGTGTGTGTGTGTGTGTTTGTAAATATATATGATAAAAATATAGTTTTAAAGGTATGGTATATTTATGAGTTAAAGTGCTTTATATCGGGGATAGAGCGTATGTAAATATAAAAGTGTACATTCAGGTCAATACTCAAATCCGATAGTCTGTTTCATGCTTAAACGCCATATGGCCTTACGATTGCGTTTAAGAATGAAACAGATTCTCACCGCTGGGTGTTGATCACAATGGCCACTTTTACCAGGATATATATATATATATATATATATATATATATATTATGGATATAGGAATCAACACTGCATAGTAAGTGACATTCGTCAATGCGCCCTTCAAAAAATATATTATAACTGCTCTGTCACCGATACAAAACACTCTCCTCTCTTACAAATACAATAAATCTTTTACTCTCAGATTAATAAAAAAAAAATCCATCACAAATTTAGAAATTGCTTTGTTTACGCTAGGATACGAAACTGAACAGTTATGAATATTTCGAGAGTCTGGGAAAGATTTGTCTTTATATGGCACTATTCAACTTTCTTAACGACACGCTTTGTCCTGCCGGGAAGCGCATATTTTTCCTTAATACGAATTCTCAAATATTCAGGCCGATAAACGAAAATAAATATACTGCTTAATAATTAAGTGGAGCGTTTACTCATATGTGTATCCACTAAAACGTTTAAGTAAACTAATAAAATCTGTCGGATTTATAACTAAAAATCCATCAATTCTTTAGAATATATATATATATATATATATATATATCCGATGCGATAAGAACGAAAGTAATATATAAATTCCAACGTTCACAGCATTAATCCAAAAGAGGGCTCGATACCGATAGTAGAGCGATAATTATTTATTATAATTTTATTATATAGACAAAACCATTTTATTCACTACAAAGATGCAACTTGGTTTCAGTGCATTTCAACTGCACTTTGACGGGTGAAAATCGAAAAGGCAATTGTGATGGTTTTATTTTGTAATAAGTATATACTTGACAGAAATTTCTAAATTTAAAAACACTCATAAATATTCAACAGGTTAACTGAAATGTCTAGACATTTAGACCTTAGATTACGTCATGTGGTATTTTTGAAAGGGAAGTTTTCAATTTAAAGACGCTCATAAATATTCATCAGATTAAGCGAAAAGCACTCATCTTTTTTCTTTTCTTTTTTTTTTTAAAGAATATTATTTGGATTGAAATATGAGATGAACGTTTATATTATACATCTCTGAAAGTTGAAATGTTGCATTCAGCCGTTTTCATTTGATTTTTCAACACATTTGTTGTGTATATTGGCTTGGGAAAATATTAATTCTTTCAAGAAAGGCGAGATTAGGAAAAAAAACGGGGCGTAGTTTAATATTTTGATAATATTCAATGGCAGAGCTCTCGAGGATTTTCCTTCTGAGTAAATTACTTTCTCTTTTGATGAGTGTAGCATTATTTAGATCAAAATTGTGGTCGAATTTATTTCTGTGTATGATTATCTCATCTTTCCTCCTGGGGAAAAACACACTCAATAGCGTCCCACTAGCGACCCTTAAAATAACTAGTCAGGTTGTTTGGCAAATATTTATTTTAGATTTTTGAATAGGACGCACGTTTGAAAGCCGGTCGAATATGAGTAAAAGATGATATGCGTTCAAGGTGACAAGTCAATAGGAAAAACTCCGGAAAATATGAGATAAAATCGGAAACTCATATACCAAACATAGATATCTGCTATCGCATGACTGAAATAGATTATGGAGTTTGCCAGGTTATAATAGACCGGAAACTTTTCGATATTCATCGAGATAATATTCTTGCTGAATCAAAAACTTACAGATATCTCGAAGTGAATGAATCCTTCAGGTCTTAAAGAAGAGAATTCTTCATTAGACTCTGTAGACTGATGCTACAGAATCATAAACAAAGAGCTTTACAGAATAACAAAAAGCACACCACTTGAAGACTTCCAACAATAGCAGCAACAAAAAAGGATAGCACATGTGATTAAAAGGGAAAATAATGAAATAATCAAGATATTAACTTTCCACATTACCTCTAACAAAAGCTTTGGAAGGAAACTCCTGTCAGCACTAGAAAGAGTTATAACAGTAGACTTGAGAAGTCTAATTTTTTTAAAAACTGTTTAAGAAAAATATTTTATCGATTTCAACCGACGCTATCGTTATTCGGGCAATGAATACCGAATGTTTTTATGTAAAAACGGCTAATTTCGCCATTGCCATATCAACATCACGTATATAATGTGCTATTTTAGAAAATATATAGTAAATATTGTGTTTTAGTAGACGATACTTGCAATATATTCAAACTATGCGCACGATTTTCATTGTGAATCTAAAATGGCCGCAACTTGACATCGGCGTTTGGTGCCGATTTCTGTTGTGTTTGAGATTGAGTCAGACATTGTTGAATGTTGACGTTTTATGCACAAATGAATGCAGTATGAAAAATTGCACTTTTGCCATATTATGCTCCATGAATTTCGGAAAGGAGTAAGCATTGGAACTGCGACAAAAACATTCAGAAGGATTATTTGAATCATGCTCCAGATCTTCAGACGGTCAAAGATTGGTTTGGAAGATTTTGTCAGGGTGATTTAAATCTAAACGATGAACCATAGTCCAGGCGATCTTCCTAGGTTGATGAAAACACTCTGCTTGCTATCGTGGAGAATAAACCGAAGATTTCAACGGAAGAAATTGCTAAGAGTTTGAAATTCGATATCTCAACTACCTTTCACTGTTTGAAGAGACATGGGTTCGTTTACAAAATCGACACGGGAGTGCCATATTCTCTGACGGAAGAAGCTCAATCGTCTTTCTGTGGCGATTTCTTTGCAGTTACACCACGGAAAGGAGACGTTCTTGGACAGAATTATCATAGGCGATGTAAAATGCATTGTTTATGATAACATTCAACGCAAACCGAGCAAGAACTCGTGGCTAAAGCTAGCTTGCTTCCAATTGGTGAGATTGCAGAAATAATTCACTTTAAGCTTATTCAATAACGACAAAGAACTATTGCGACTAACTCACCAACCTCAATGCGGCTATTCGAGAAACGCGTTCGATTTTGGCAACTCGAAAATGTGTCATATTCCACCACGACAACGCAAGACCACATATTAGAAAACAGGATTGCAGAAGCTTAATGAGTTCAAGTAGGAAACTCTCCAGCATCCAATGTACTCTGCTGACTTGGCTCCTTCGGATTTCCATTTGTTCCGGTCTCTACAGAACAATTTAAATGACAAAAATTATTCCTGTACAGTTAGTTGACAACTACTTCACAACCTTCTTCCAACAAATCGAGTTTTCTGCGAAATAGCATCAACAAGCTTGGAGAACGATGGGAGAAAGTTATTAAAACAAAGGAGGCTATGTACTTGACTAATAAATGTCTTTGCATGTAAAATTTTATTTTTAATTTTCTAATTGGGAAATAACTTTTGTAATGATCTAATACTTCTGGAAGATGATATAATAATTTGATTTTTTATAAAGTTTGAATGAAAAACGAAGAAAATTTTTTTTTTCTTTCACTGCAAAATAGAATCTAGATCAAATCAAAGAGAAATATTATTAGGGTGTTCGGAAGGTATTTCGCCGCTATGAATTCTGGGACAACCAACCAAGGCGAGACCCCAAGCTGAATGATAGGAAGCTACACCTAGAAATAGTTTATTATCTCTTTTATTCAACAGGGTTTAGTTTATTCAACCTTTACATTGAGGTGATCATAAGAAAATTAGAAGTCCTACCAGAATTAATTCATTGCGGTCACAATCTTAACAACATTAGATATGCAGATGACATAGTTTTGATAGCTTACACAGAAAAGTAACAACAGCAACAACAACAGAAGGTAGTAAAGGAAGGCGGGAAGAAAGGACTAAACATCAAAATCAAGCGAGTACAAAAATTTAAATATCTGTAAAGTGTTTGACAGAGGACGGAAAATGCGACACTGAAATCCGAAGACTCATTGGAACAGAAAAAGTTGCCTTTCAAAAGCTAAGCAAAGTATTAAGAAACAGGAAAATTTAATTAGAAAGTAAAGAGTATTTAACTTTGATGTAATAACATTCGTTCCTCCTCTATGGTAGTGAATGTTGGACAATCTTCTCATTGATAGAGAAGAGGACAAGAGAAACAAAATGTGAACAACTACGAAGTTTTAAAGAAAATGGAAACAAAAAGGATACTTACACTTAAACAATTGACATTTCTAGAGCACATAATGAGAATAGAGGGCTTGGCAAATTTGACACTCACAGGACATATTGAAGACAAAAGGGACAGAGGAAAACAACGCATAACCATTGCCTAACGAACTTCTGTAAATGATTAGCAGTACAGGGATTAAGAAAGACAATGAAAAGACAAAGTGCGACAAAGGACAGAACGTTGTGGAGTTATTTTCAACCACGTACTGAAGGGACACGGCACATAGAAAAAGTTTCGCTTGTAGTATATTTCCGAGTTAAATTAGAAAAAAATTGCAAAGAGGGAATTTAGCTTCTCTAACACTTTCGTTCCAGTGCCTCAACCTCCGACGTCTTATTCTCTGGGTTGAGGTGTCTACTCGGTCCTAACCGAACTTAATGGAGTGGCCGTAGGTCCCCTGAGCATCCGTAGATTATTCGACCGGTTCGCTGGTTTAATCCTGCTTCCTGCCCACTTTGTGTTTGGTTTGATCCAGAAAGCAGAAGTGATGTCCGTCCATTCACGGTCGACTGAAGATGTAGAAACGGCTGGAGAGTCTGCGCTAAAAAATTTAGAATGCAGCAAAAAAAAAAAAAAAATTAATATCTGCAGAAAGCTGGACAAACAACTATTCAATGATTGAATTGTTAATGTATTTTATATAGCAGAAAAGAATAGTATAGAAAAGAAACGGGTTTCAGAAAAGAAAGTAATTGACGTAAAAACGCATACACTGGATTCTGGACAGAGAGAGAGAGAGAGAGAGAGAGAGTGTGTGTTATGATTAACTTGTTAAATAGTCTCCGAATGATATACGACTCTTGCGATGAGGGAATAAGATTTATGTGCGCGGCTTAAAGTTTATAGTGGCGCTCCTCCTTAGCAATAGTAACAGTAGTAGTAATATTCGTGGTAGAAGAAGCAGCGGTACTTATATCAACAGTACATGTTAGCGGACGCTTCGTTCCAATATCTGACGTCACTTTCTCTCCTTCTTGAGTCTCCAACTCGACTCTCCATTGTCTCTAGCCCAACTCTTGCCCGGGCTAACTCTCTTCTGACTCTCTCTCTTCCTTCTGCCTCTTCCGTCTCTCTCTTCTGTCTCTTTCTTCCGTCTGCCTCTTCCGTCTCAACGCGTTTATATAGATAAACTCGGCTGGTTACAACTGACTCTTGGCCCTACTACTTCGCACGCGATTATCACGGGGTTCTGACTGTTTCAACCAAAATCATGTTCCTTCTAGCTTACTCAGCTCTATTTCAATTTTTAATCGATGAAAATTATTTCGACCATTTCCGTTGTCTTCTGGTGACCTAGATTCAATGAGTACAGCTGCCCTAGATCAAATTTCCACATCAGTAAACAAAATGCTCTGATTTAATTTCACTATTCAAATCTATTCCAATTTCACAAAAATACGTGTGTCTGTGTTTCCCAGACTCTCTGACACATTTCTTGTAAGTTTTCTTTTGAAAATTGAACACATTTTCTATAATCTGCAACAGTTTTTTTTTTAACCAGGTGTGTTAAACCTTTTATTTTTGCCTCGCGTTGTTACAGGTGATGAAAAATGTGTTTTCCATGTCAAAAGTAAACAAAAACATAGTGATAATCACAAAATGAGAGACAAGTACCAAAATTATAACCAAATCTCCATCTATAGAAGTCATTGCTTTGTGTCTGTTGGAATATGAATGGTATCATTAGTTACAAGCTACTGGAACATAAAAGGGCCATCACCGAAGATGTTTATTTCCATCAAATTGATCACGTAAACGAAGTGTTCTGCTCTAGCAAACAGAAAAGATGTTATTCTCCAGCAAATTAATACAAAGATACACACTGCAAAACAAACGCAAGGAAAATAAGATCGTTACAATGGGAGATTCTTCTATATTCTCTACACCGAAAGATTTAGCATTTACAGATTTTCATTTGTTTCCATTACTGCAGGATTTATAAATGACTGAACATTTCGAAGCAAAGAAGTTTAAAATAGCGTTTCAAATTTTTTCGAGGAAAATCTGGATTTCTTTAAACGTGGAATTAAAATTTTCCTTTCCGTTTAGCGAACGTCATTGAAAATGAAAGCGATTACATTTCTGATAAAAAAAATATTTAAATAAATTTAACTTTCATTTGTTTCTATAGCCTTTCTGGTAAAACGTAATTACTTTTCGAACATCTTACTATTAAAATAGATTTTTTTAACACATTCGAAAGGAAATAAAAATTAGTCTATACAGATAAATATATATATATATATATATATATATATATATATATATATAGAGAGAGAGAGAGAGAGAGAGAGAGAATTCAAAGTAAAAATTCAAGAACATTTTCAAATAGGATGTTGCAACTGATTAACTTAATATAACCTCATATTGACAAGAAACATGCATATCGTTAAAATATACATTCAGTCATGAATCAAGCATATGTTTTGCAAAAAAGTCATACATGGTGGCAAGATAAAAATACAGAATTTACAAATATATTTCCCATCTGAAATAATTTCGCCATGGCATCCACGAATCACAGATTGATAAGCCAACGTACGTACAGACACGCGTAATATTAGATAGAAATCGAAATTGTAGTTAATACAAAAAGCATATTTGTTGCCAGTAATTGTCGATATTGTCAGTCGAGATAATACTGTCTTGTAAAATAAGATTTGTTGAATCAAAACCATGCTCATGGCGATATACTTGTTTTGACCACTTCATCAGTGGTCTTGTTTCTACACTCAAAGGACACATCATATTGAAACTCCGGTTCCCGCACGATCACTGAAGTTAAGCAACGTCGAGCCTGGTCAGTATCTAGATGGGTGATTGGTTGGGAATAGCAGGTGCTGTTAGCTTAGAAGTGCAGGTAGTGTAATTGATACTGGCTGGGGAATATTAATCGGACAGCCGAGTTCCAATTCCCGTTGGGTTCGTTATATTCACTCACACGAATATACTTTTGAGAAAGGTATAAATCCACCTCTTCTCCGCCAGCTATGGGTTAATTAGAAAGACTTGTATAATTAAACCTTTATCATTAAAAAAAAAAGTAGAAAATTCTCACAATCTAAAAAAATATTTTATGACTTTAACCTGCATGTTGTGGATTCCGGGTTGAAATCCGGTACCAATAAATAACAAACGCCAAGAATGAATATAGGAAAATAAATGTATTAACGTAATAATACAAACTGGTAAAGCAGGTTAGTAGTTCCAGGAATACGGGTTAGTAGCAAAATATATATACAGTCTTTGGTATTGAAGTATCGCTGTATGACTTCTTACTGAGTCTACGTGCTTGCTCACTGTGACTCCTACAACGCTGTTACCTCACCCCTCACTCTTCTGGTTACCTACAACCTTTTACTCTGTCACTCTGGACTCAACTCGACTCCTCGGTCTTGCTCTGTTCTCTCGGGTATTCACTGACAGTAGTATAAGTATATACTGGGTGAGTCCATTTGTATAAAAAGGGGAGAACCCCTCAACACTCAATATATATATGCGTGTGTGCGTCTGTGTTGATAAGCCGTAAAAATGACTAAATGAATTATACGCTCAAAAATGAATGAATATATTCAATGCACAGAAGAAATCAAATTAATTCTTCTCAGTTTTTTTTTAAATAAATGGCATGAAATGTTGTGTTTGTTTGCATTTTTATTCAAAGAGAATAGTTATATAACCGACGTCGTCTTCAACCTGGTCGTTTGACAGTTTGGAGTTTCACTCTCGATGTCAGAAAATTGTCTTCACGCTGCTTTTTCTAAATTTTTATACATGTTACAAAAATGTACGAAAGATTGTGGAAATTTTACAGGTTCTAATATATATATATATATATATATATATATATGCGTGTGTGCGTCTGTGTATGTATGTATGTAACCACAAAGATTCATTAAAAATGAGCATGAAATGATGAAAAAAAAACAACCCCCAAAACTTAATAAAAACAAAGTTTTATCGTCAAAAAAGTCTTAGGATATTTTCTTTTAATTATTTTTTAGAAATATTGAAATCTCGATTAAAAACCTTATTTCTTTTGCTTCAATGACGGACCCTAAATTAGTACGAGAAAATTGAGCGTCTTTTTGCGTTGAAAAACTCATTAATTTGGGATTTATTTAAAAAATCAGATATTTATCAGATTTTAATAAAACTTTCAAGATTTATTTACAATCGAATGAAATTTTTTTTTTTTTTTTTTAGAAATTCTTTTTTTTTTTTTAGAAAATTTGTTGACATTTTTTTTACATTTGTTACTCCACACTTATTTAATTTTATGAAATTTTGAGAAATTCTCTTTTGTTTAATATTTATATGAGTTATAAAGACAAGTCATAGGAGAATTTAAATCATCAAATCTTTTTTAGTCAAACAGTATCCACAGTTACAGAAAATTTGCTCTGAATCATAAAAAAATACAAGAAAACTAATACATTATTTAATTACAAATGATTTTAATTGCTTTTATGAATAAAATATATTATGAACACTATTGTAAGAAAAAATATTTCGATAAATAATGAAGTTTTGCAAGAATTGTTTTCATTTATTTTAAATTAGAATAATTTATAAATTTTTAATTCTTTTAAAATTCGGTATTAATTTGTGACGGTTAAGTGTTATCATTATATCAAAACTGTATTTAAAATGATTTTTAAAAGAATTTTGAATTTTGTGTGCGTGCGTGTGTGTATAGACGTGTCGATTTTTGCAAATACGGACGTCCATACACGACATTATCAGGAAATAAGAGCGGTAACTATAACAAATTTAAAATTTATTGATAATTTTCTAAAATTTCCTAAACAAGTGTCTTCGTAAAACCATAAAGTTAAAACACCTAAAATTTAATAAAATAGAATGCTTAAAATATCTAAATTTTTAAAGAGTACTGGGCAGTTGAAAAAATACCTAAAAAGGCGTTTACGTTGTATTCATCATGTAATTTTGTTACAAGTATTTTCCCCCTTACATAATTTTTCGCAAACAACAGGCTATCGGTAGATGAGTCAACACCTCATTAAAACACCCATGTGTATATCAAAAAAAATTTTTTTCTGTAATATTTTAATTCAGATTAAAAACTTTATATCAGTCAATCTTCCTCAAATAAAGTTTCAGAGATGTACATTTTGTTTTTGAAATACTCGTATCTTTTAAATAAAGAGAATTATGCCGTGTTGACAGATTTGTCAATATGGACGATTTTATTGAAACTCCGTTTCAATCAATTAAAATTCGGTTTGAAATACAACAAAGTATTTTGCGTACTGGAAATATTAAAATTAATTTGTTAGCTTAGAATTAAAAGTATTATTTTTCATTTTTTAAAAAGATATTTTTTTTAGGTCTTATTAATTTCTCTTCATGTTTGACTGTTTACGATGTATTTTTTGTGTTGTTTTGAATATTAGTAGGAGCGTTTATTCCGAATTTTCCGAGGTGAGCGCGGCTGAAATTCGAGTGGCCGTCTTTCTAGTAAAAAATCATTCGTCACACCATTCCCAGTGTTGAATAAGGTGGAATTTGCATTGTGAACAAAATGTTTTGTATACAGGACCTCTCTTACAGCGAGATTTTTTCGGTAATGTGATTTATATGAAATGCTAGTGTTTTCGACCAGAATTTTCCTTGTAAATTGTAGATAGCTAAATGCCTTTTTATAGCACTTTTATCAGATAAGTGACACGCAAGGCATCTAACAACTAAAAACAAAGCCCTTAGGAATGGTTAAAGAAGTCCCCGAAAGCGCTCGACACAGTAGAACAATGCGACCAAATTTTGCACTCCCTTACTCCCAAAAAACGGGAAAATATAATAACGCTGGAAAAATTAAATAAAAAGAATAATTAAATTTTCCTAGTCCCTCACATTCAACGAAATACACATTTTATTTATATATATATATATATATATATATATATATATATATATATATATATATATATACACACACGTGTGTGCGTGAATGCATACACATCGTGTGCGTGGTACGTATGTATGCGTTCATGAAGGTGTGAGTATATGCCGTCCGAGATATATGCCTATATATTATATATAATTGTATATCTTTGAAAGCTCTGATTCGTCATGAGTGAAATTAATTTCGTCAATACTTTATAATTTATTAATCAACAACAGCATAAAATATAATGAAGCTTGCCGTGTCATAATGGCTTTGGTAACCTAAATGACAATTTATTAGAAAAAAAGGCGAGATTCAGGTTCAAGTTTCGTATGAATCGAGTTTTTATCTGAATTCTTATAATTGAATTTCTGGATCGCTTTAAAATACTGTGATTTAAGCAAACATTTTAAAATCTTCCTCAAAACTGAAAAACAAAAAGAAGAGGAATTGGAAATTCCAATCAAATCATGTACAAAGCCGATGAAAGCTTTATTATTTATTTATTTATTCTTCATAATCTATGGAATCAATCTCGTTAGTAGAAATATTTGTCCAGCTGCTAACATGGAAACAAAATGCAGTTTGTTGTGCATTCTTTGCTGAAATAATTGTTTTTTGCTATGTTGTCTGCTTGAGAGGCAGCAATTATCAAAAGCCAATCGTTCGTTCGGATCATTTTGCTGATGCCGTTAAAAATGGCAAATCCCATCATTGATTCCGTTGAGAATAAAAGCGCTTGCTACTTGGACAGATGTCAGATAATTAAGTCATTGGCAGCAGAAGAAGAACATTGATTTTCATTCAGCGGCACGACAAATAATTTGTTTGCAATAAATAAAAAAATAAAAAAATACTGGTTGGCCTCTGTTGGAAGTTTTTCTTTGAATTGAAGAAAAGGAACAAAAGAAACGAGATACGAAAAGAAAACGAGAAAGATTAAATAAAAAAAAAGTAGATAAAAAGTGGAAGAAAAGAAAAGAGGAAAGAAGAGAGAAAGAAAGGAAAGTAAATGGGAGTAGGTTGGGAGAAAGAAAGGATACTAATTACTGGGAAAGTAAGAAATAAAGAGGAAATGAAGAAAGGCAAGAAGAAAAAGGAGTGAAAGAAAGAAAGAATTGGGGAAGGAGTGAAAGGAGAAGGAGTTGAGGAAGGAATGAAAGGAGGAGGGGTTGAGGAAAGAATGAAAAGAGGAGGGGTTGAGGAAGGAATGAAAGGAGGAGGAGGGGTTGAGGAAGGAATGAAAGGAGGAGGAGGAGTTGAGGAAGGAAAGAAAGGAGAAGAGGTTGAGGAAGGAAAGAAAGAAAAGAAAGAGTTGAGGAAGGAAAGAAGTAAGAAAGGGTTAAGGAAGGAAAAAAATGAAAGAGTGAACAAAGTAAAGAAAGGAGGACGGTAAGAAATTGAGAAAATACGAAAGGAAGGAAAAGAATGAAAAAAAAAACAAAGGAAAGAAACAGCGAAGAATGAAAACAGAAAAAGAAAAAAGAGAAAAAGAACGGAGAGGAAAAGGAAAGGAAAAAGAGAGAAAAAAAGAAAAGGGAAAAAAAGAAAACAAAAATCAAAATGAAGACTAAAGTGATGAGAAAGAAAATAGAAAAAGAAGAAAAAAAAGAGTCAAAGTGAAGAAAAAGTCTTAACTTCAAAGAAAATCTCTTATTCGTCAGGATATTTTCAAAAATTCTTTGGTAAAGACATCTGTTTTCGAAAATAGGAATCTCTCAAACTATTGCTCTCCTCTTTCGTTCAATTATCAATATATTTTCAAATATATTTTTACTTTTTTCCAGATAAAATGATCTATAGGCAATCGTTCTTAATTTTGGGAGCCCACGCACGCAGATTCCTTTTCACCATATTTCAAAATATCATTTTTTTACCATCTTCCAACTCTGATCAAAAAAAAAAAAAAAAAAAAAAAAGAAAGGCATTGTAGAATTT